TATTATTTTTCAGTTTGATCAGAGAGAGACAGAGAGAGAGAGGAAGTGAGAAAGCAAATCACCAGGGCCAAGACTTGAACTGTGGTCGGCCATGTGGGAGTCTAGCACCTTTAACCACCATGACACTTACCAGTCCCAAGACTCATACTTTCAAAAATTAAAACTGTACTCAGATTGGCAGATGGTATAACGGTTATGTTGCTGGACTCCCATATAGTCGACCGTGGTTTGAGTCCCAGATCCAGCGGCTTTAAACTCACACTGGGTGTGTGTGCATGTGCCCAAAGTCCCAAGAGAATGGGGGAAAAAAGGATTGTGGTGTGGCTATCCCCCTGAGCTGTGATTTCTCATTTTTTGTCTCTGTCTCTCTCTCTCTCTGATGAGTACACACGTTCTATAGCAAAAACCTCTCTCTCTTAAAAAAAAAAATGTCTTGACCTGGCCCCAACACCAAGTGGTTAAGACAGCTAGATCTGTCATGGCTGACCTTGGTACAAATTCCAGACCTGGTACTTGAAAAACATGTTAGGTACTTAAGCATGTATGCCTCCAAGTCCCAATAAGATGCAGAAATGTCAAAGGGATTGCAGTGTGGCCACACCTCATTGCAGGGTACTTTTACTCTCCTTCCCTCCCTCTCTGTCTCTCCATCCCTCTCTCTCTGATGAGCACACATACTGCCAATCAACAAAAAAGAAAAGAAAAAGAAAGGTCTTCTATGGTGTGCTGCCATAATAAATTGGAACAACACTAACTCCCTAGGTCAGGAAAATGTCTAAGTCCCAACACCATCCGGATGTAGAAACTAAAAGTACATTTTTGTCCAACTCACAAAGAGAATTCTTCTCTTAGACGCCTCCTGTATTGCTTCTTCGGCTTCATAGTGTTAAAGTAGGGCAGCTTGATAACATCAGGCCACACAGCTGGACAAGGGCTACCACAGAGTCGGCTGAAAATGAAGCAAAAGCCAAAAGCAAGGAAGTGAGTCAGCTTCATGAATTTTGGAGGCTGTAGAATTTCTGCCTCTGGCAGGAGTAAAAATTATGACCTCCTGAGGTCTGGGGAATCTTTGCTTACTATATTAAAGGACATGCAGAAAAGTAAATTATAGCCTAATACTTCAAGGACATTAGGAATAAACAGAAAGAACTTGTTAGAAGATAGTGAAAATACTGATATAATAATTCAAAATGTGCCACATATTTGGTTTTGTAAAGAATGTTTTTTTAATCCCAACCACAGTTTTACTTATCAAATTTATTTCCCGTTAATATGAATTTCAAAGGGCTGAACTGGTCACAGAGCAGAAAATGGGAGAGCCTAAGACTGAACAATTATCTGATAGACAATTTAGAGTATAGTATCTAACAAATAATAAGTAATGTATCACCTTAAAAGATGCCTATATTGGGACCAGCAGTTGGTGTAATGGCTATGTCGCTGGACTCCCATGTAGTTGACCGCGGTTCGAGTTCTGGACCCAGTGGCTTAAATTCACTCATGTGTGTGCGTGTCCAAGATCCCGAGAGGAGAATGGAGGAGAAGGAGGTGATTTCTCACTTTCTGCCTCTCTGTCTCTGTCTGTCTTTCTGGTGGGCACATGCGCCCTATAGCAAAACCTCACCAAAAAAAAAAAAATGATGCCTATATTAGCTTGTTGTATTCTCTTTAATTTTATTGAAATGAAGGAACAACAAACCCCATCCCAACCATAGACTTTCCCTAAGTCTAACATTATAGGTTCTACAAATATCTATTTATGTGCTGCATATCTTACTAAGTTCTGAGTTCTTTGAAGGCAGAGACTTACATCATTTATCTCAAAATCCTTAAGTGTAACAAAAAAAAACTCTTGTCATCCCTTGTATTAACAGGCCCAATAAATGTTTGCTACATAAATATGATCTTAATCTAACTTATGAATGGAACTACCATCCTGAAAATGGCTGTTTTTTTTAAAGGCTGCTTTTATATAATGAAATAGTTGAAAAAATATGCAGACTAAGACCAACCAAATTAAGTGGAATACAACTTCTTTACATTTATAGGTCATGACAAAATATATGGCTAGCCTGATTAAGTGAAGAGAGACTTGCTTGTACATAAAGAGTATAAATCGTTTAGTAGAATGACTGAAAAATACTAGAAAATGAAAGGTAAGATTACATGTCACACCTGGACACTCAAGAGCACATACACAGCTGTACCTGATCAGTTCTAGCTGAGCCAGTTCCAAATTGGCTTGGAAAATAGGCTTCTTTGTGAACAGTTCCCCAAGGATGCATCTAGAAAGAATAAAATTGAGAGGTCAAGAGAGAAATCTCTGGAACCTATCTAAAGTGTGTCTCAATAAGTGTTTATAACATATTGGGCTCCATCCAATACATTATGTTGTAAACTAGCCTAGAACTTCAGTGTCTCAGTTTTCTAAATAAAAACATTTCTTACAGAGAGAACAGACCATATAAAAGATTTGAATTTGCCTGCAGATCTAACTTCTGTCACCTATAAAGGACAGCATATAAACAGTGAAATGTTGTCGAGTCTTTCTTTTCTATCATGCTACTGCAAATTAAGGAAGTAAGTACATTTGGACAAGGATGTTCAGTCATCTCTATAAAGGAAGTACTAGTTTTTGTCATTAATCTGCTCTGTAGAATATGCACTATATTATAGCCCCCTTGGCACTATATTCGTAAAAAAAAAAAGACAATTTACTGTCATCAATCAGGATCAGTTTCGATAAGACATTAAAATAAATTATTCTGGAACACTTTTGCCATTTTGAAAAGGGTTTTCAAAACAATATTGACAAGGCAGGCTCCATGGCCCAGTGGTAATGGACTGTTCAAGAGAAGCTGGATCTGAAATGGTGATCTCTGGACCAGCCAGTTGGAATTATAGCAGGCACACACATAAGTGCCCAAGATTCAATAAGCTGTAGAGCTGAAGAAAAGAGTGTGGGATAGCCAGACCCTATAGAGTGTTTCTCCCTTCTCTCTCTCTCTCTCTCTCTCAAATACGCACACATGTACTCTATCTAAATATATGGACATATTTACACTTTCTCAAAGTATCTCCCCACAAATGACCTCTTAATTATGAAGGAAATACAAGTACCTGCCTAGGAGGAAAACAAAGACCTTAACCAAGTGATCAAAATTAACATCAACAAGGGCAAACAGAGTCCATGTTAAATATAGATATGTTACCCTGAGAAGAACGTGACATTGCTTTGAAGTATTCTAGACAAAAATACCTAACCTGAATCCACATCAAGTTCTCCATGAATGAACTGCTCCAAGACCTCCAATGGATGCCTAAAACCACAGATAGTACCAAACCCTATATATGCTGCATTGTCTCCTATACACAAGAAAATACATACCTATGATAAAGTTTAATTTACAAATCAGGCACAATAAGATAATAATAATAATAATTCACATAAAAAAGGACAACTATAATAATATACTGTAATAAAGGTAGATGAATGTGGTCTCTCTCTCTCTCTCTAAAAATATCTTATTGAACTGTACTCACCTATTTTTCAATTGCAGTTACCTGCTAAAAGTGAAACCACAGATATGGGAGAATTATTGTAGTAACTAGTCTATGTTCTTCTAAAATGTTATGAAAGGCAAAGAAAGAAAGGCTAAGGAACTGTTTCAGATTAAAGAGGAGTAAAAAGAATGGCAATTAAAGTTAATCATGATCTAGGACTGGCTTCTGTATCAGGTGAAGTATTGTTCCTAAGACATTAGTGGATACCAATAAAACTGGAATATAGGGGCTGGCCCTGTAATCTAATGGTTAAGGGAGCCGTATCTCATGTGGCTGTGTGGGTTGAATCACAGCATCACTGGCTTGAAAAACACACCAGGTTCATGTGCATGTATGTCAACAGTCCCAACTAAATATAGAAATGCAGACGAGATCATGGTGTGACTTTGCCACATTGGATAGTGTTATCTCCTCCTCTCTGTCTCTCTCCCTGGGGAGTGCAACCACCTCCTGGAATGTTCAGGGAGAAAAAAAATCAACTGGAATATTAAATATAGAATAAAGTGTTATATTAAATAAAAATAGTGGGCTTGGGCCAGTAAGTGGTATGGTGGTTAAGGCACTGGACTCCCACATGGCTGAGGGCAGTCTGAGTCCCAGACCTAGCAGCTTGCTTACTCATTTTTCTGCCCTCTCTTTCACTCTCTCATGAGCACATGTGCCCTATAGGAAATTTTTAAAAACAGTAATTGGGGCCAGCAGGTGGCATGGCGGTTAAGGTGCTGGACACCCACATGGTTGACTGTGATTCAAGTCCCAAACCCGGTGGCTTGCTTTCTTTCACTTTCTCTGTCTTTCTCAGATAAAATTTTAAAATATAATAATAATAACAACATGGGGCTGGCAGGTGGTTAGGGAGGCTGGACTCCCACATGGCTGACTACAGTTTGAGTCCTGGACCTGGCAGCTTGCTTCTCACATTCCTTCTCACTCCCTGGCTCTGTGTCAACTTCAAAAAATAAATAATAAAATAATGACGATGATTAAAATTAAGTACAATAATTCTTTTAAAAAGTAATGAATTAAGTAAATAATTCTTTTTAAAAATAAATTTATTAAAAATAATAATACATTGAAAAAAATAGTTTCTTGATCTAAAACACAATGGTTAAATCCAGTGCATTGGAGCAAGATTCCCTTGTGGCTAACTAAAGTTCAAATCCTGGCCCTGAAAGGAGCTTGAAAAACTGGTTTGAAAAACACAACAGGGCATGTACATGTATGCAAGCCCCAAAAAACAATGGGATGGAGAAATGGAGAAAAACAAATTCTTCTGTGACCATACCCCTTGGAGGTGCTTTCTCTCGCTCTCTCTTCAACAAGCACATACATTCTCTGGCATTAAAATAATAAGTATATCAAAGTTAAATTTCCTAAATTTGATCATTGTACTGTTATTATATAAGAGGGTATATTTTTGTTCTTTTCTTTTTAAGAATTAGTTTTATTTAAGTTGGCAGGTGGCGTAGTGGTTAAGGCGCCAGACTCCCACATGGCTTACGGCAGTTTGAGTCCCAGACATGGTGGCTTACTTTCTCGCTTTCCTTCTTTTCTTTCTCTCTCTGGTCAAATTTAAAATAAAAATGATAGGTTAAAGGTGCTGGACTCCCACAAGGCCGACCTTGGATCAAGTCCTGGACCTGGTGGCTTCCTTTCTCACTTTCCCTCTCTCTCTCTGTCTGATCAAGCTAAAAAGTAATAATAATAGCAATAAATAAAATTAAATAAAATAATTCTTTAAATAATAATAATGATAAATAAAATTAAAATTTTTTTTTTTTAATAAAAAAGAATCACTTTTATCAGGGCCAACAATGGTGTAGTATTTATGTCATGGACTCCCATATGGCCTACTGTGGTTCAAATTCCAAACCTAGTGGCTTAAAAATCTTGCCTGGCATGTGTACATGTGTGCCCAAGATCTTGGGAGGAGAATGGAGGAGAAGGGATTGCAGTGTGGCCATCCACTCAGGGAGTGATTTTTCACTTTCTCTCTCACTGCCTCTGTCTCTCTCCAGTGAGTGTATGCATCCTAAGAAAATCATCTTCTACCGAAAAAAAAAAGTTTATTTTATTATATTTTTTAATTTTGTTATAGGGCACATGTGCTCTCCAGAGAGAGACAGATACAGAAAGTGAAAGAGGGAGAGAGAGAGAGAAAGTGAGAAAGTAAGTTAACAGGTCCAATAGTAAAACCATAATCGGCCAAGTGCAAGTCCAGTGTCTCAACCTCCATGCTACCTAGTGGCCTCTATCTTTGTTCTTAAGGAGTATATACTAAATATATTCAGGTTTTGAAAGGGGCATAATATATGCACCTAAAATTTTCAAAGAGTTCTGGGGAAAAAACATGTGACAAGTATATAAACAATTTGTTCTATAAATATATAATACGTACGCACTAATGTGACATGTTAAAAATTAGCAAATCTAATATGAATGAAACTCAAAATAACTTACACTGAGCAGAAGATGCCAGAGGGGAAAAAAAGAGTATGCATTATAGGGACCAGTAGATGGTGTAATGGTTACGTTGCTGAACTCCCACATAGTCAACCACAGTTTGAGTCCCAGACCCGACAACTTAAAACTCACACTGGGCACATGTGCATGTGTGCCCAAAATCCCAAGAAGAGACTGGAGGAGAACAAATTACAGTGTGGCCATCCCCGGGGGGATGGCGGGTAGAGGAATGTATTCTTGCTGTCTTTCTGGTGTGTTCCCCAAAAAAAAAAAACTCTCCCCCCCCCAAAAAAAAAAAAAAAAAAAAAAAGGGGTATGTATTCTACAGTTCCATTTATACAAAATTCTAGATATTGAAAATAATTTATAGTGACAAAAAGCAGAAAAGTGGAATGCCTGGGAATGGGAAGGCAGGAAAAGAGAGGGATTGCAAAGAGGCACAAAGAAACTTTTGGGGGAGATAATTTTGTTTTTGGAGAGGTTTTAGCTATAGGATTCGTGCACTCACCAGAGAGACAGTGAGAAAGAGAGACAGAAAGCGAGAAACCACCCCCCAGAGGAGATGGCCATGCTGCAACCCCTTCTCCATTCTTTTCTTGGGATTTTCGGCATGAACGCACATGCACCCAGCAAGTTTAAGCCACTGGGTCCAGGACTCGAACCGCAGTCAACTACATGGGAATCCAGCGACATAGCCATTACGCCAACTGCAGTTCTCAGAGATCATTATTTTTTTAAGAATTATTTATTTTGGGACCAGTAGTTGGCCTAATGGCTATGTCACTGGACTCCCACGTAGTCAACCACAGTTTGAGTCTCGGACCCGGTGGCTTAAACTCATGCCAGGCGCGTGCATGTGCATGTCCAAGATCCCAAGAGGAGAATGGAGGAGAAGGGATTGTGGGGTTGCCATCTCCCCTGGGGGGTGATTTCTCTCTTTCTGTCTCTCTGTCTCTCTCTGTCTGGTGAGCGCAAGCACCCTATAGCAAAAACCTCTCAAAAAATTTTTTAATTTTGTTTTATTATTATTTTTAAATTTGCTAAAGGGCACATATACATACCTGAGAGACAAACAGAGAGAGAGAGACAGAGAGAGAGAGGAAAAGTGAGAAAGTAAGTCACCAGGTCCAGGGACTCAAATCACAGTCCGCCCTCTGGTAGTCCAGTGCCTTAACCACTATGACACATGTAGGCCCTGGAGATCATTTTGGTCATGGTGATTACTTTACTGGGGGATTCATTATGGCTAAACTAGGGG